CTGCCCTACTGAACCTCGCTGTCAGATTTTCTGTTATTTTACTCAGCGTTTGGCGACTCGAACCTTCAGACTTGGTTCGGTTTCAGGACTCGGGTCGATGAACTTGGACTCGGTGTGAGGCGTCCATCATCCTGTGTTTGTTCTGGCTGCTGGATTCGGGTCTCAGTGGAGCCGAACTGTTCTGGTTATCTGGACCGTTTGGTATTTTCTAAATGACAGTGAGCGGATTGACTGATGCTCGCTGACAGTTCAGATGTCCTCACAGCGATAGGACGGCTGTTCTTAACGCCTCTGGCAGGAAACCTGAAACACGCCGCCGTTGGTCTGACAGGTGGACCGACCCGGTCCGGCCGTCTGTCTGTCAGCAGGTATTAACCGGCCCGAGGGAGCCAATCACACACATAACAGTCTGAATATATCCAGAACAATGAGCTGCTGCTACGACCTCCTCTGTTCTGGTCTCGGCTTTCACCAGATGTTGATGCAACCGCTCGACTTGTTCAGAACCAAACTGGGACAAAACCACTTCTGTCTGGACCAGAGACCGAAAACAAAGAGTCGACATGAAGCTACAACAACACGACTGGATGAAAACTACCATCAGATGCTGCTGCAAAGGGAAAAACTGTAGTTGGAAGATCGATCCCTGCTCTCATTATATCACTGTAACATAAAGTTAGCCAGTTAGCTTAGCATGTCAGCTATATTTCCTGCTTAAATCTACATTGTGCTCAAAACATTAATTAAATAAACAAACAAATAAAGACTTTGCTGCTGAGTTGCTAAAACTTATTGGAAATATACTTTAAAAAATAATAATCCTGGTAAAAATACAGTCTTTTGCATTTAATTTTAATTCATTTTCTTCATCTCGTCAATAACAAGGAGATATTTGTGAGATCAAAATAAATGTGGGAGACGTGTTTTAACAGCCGTCTCATGTGAAAAACAAAAAAACAGAGTAAATACTTCTTCAAGAGAAAATAAAATGTTTTGTCTATTTACCATTTTATAGGTTTACATGTTGTTTTACATCAGACATGAAGATTCACCGTCTATTTTTTATTTTTTGTAATTTAATTCAGAATTTTGTGTATATTTAAATACTGAATAAAATAAAATATTTTTTTTTAAATGAAAAGAAAAAATTTGTAAAACAAACCCCAAAAATGTGTTTAATTGTATATTTGTTTGTTTTATTCATGTGATTTGTTTATTATTTATTAGTGATGTTTTTATTTATTTGGGGTTTTTTGTGTGTGTTTTATGTATTTATTTATTCTCATTTTTTATTTATTCTTGGGTTATTTATTGCTAATTAATGTATTAATTCTTGGTATTTGTGTTTATTTATTTATTATAAATTTATTTATTTATTTATTCTGGGTTTTTTAAAAATATTTTTTTACTTGTTTTTTAAATTTTTAATTCATTACTGAATCATTTTTATTTATTTATTAATTATTTGATTGATTTGTTTTCTGTGAGCTAAACTCCTGGATGAACGACTGTTGTTGTTGGAGCTGCTGCTGCTTCTCATACGGACGCGTCTAAACTGGTCTGAACTAGACGTAGCATCAGAACTCTAACCGCTGTATTAAATTCACTAAAACTCAGAGGAGGAACCAGACACTGACCTACAGCTCATTTCTCTCTACATATAAACACATGATGAGGCATGCTGCTGGTGAGTGTTGAGGCTTCGCTCTCGTCTCTCGTTAAGGACCTGATTGTCACCAGAAGACAGACGAGGTTCATTACAACAGCTGAGGACAGACGAACAGACAGAAGAGGTCGCGTTGAAAAGCTCTGACGGAAACAGGAGCAGCTGCAGAACCACCAGGCTTCAGTCCCTCTGGACCGACACTCTGGAGGTCAGAACACCTCCATGAGTCGGGTTCAGCTGTAGAGGAAGCCTGGTGGTTTAAAACCAGCTGGTTGTTTTTACAGCATGTCGTCTCACACGTGAGTCAGACGTTAGAAATAAAAACCGGTTGTTCAGCGTGATGCAGAGACGAGTCTGGTCCTGGTCCTGGTCCTGGAGGAGCAGCTAAAGTCAAGTTTAATAGCGTGAATGTGTTTCTGAAGTCAGACACAGTGAGTCATGATGAACGGGAAAAGTTCTGTGATTGTTTGTTAGATGACGAATATCACAGAACTGTTTAATATGAGCTGCTCTAAATACACTTTATGTGTAAAATCAAGGCAAGAATGTGCATTTTAATTTAGTTTAGTTAAATTTATCTGTTATTTTACAGTAACTTTTGCTCCCAGGCTGCAGGAAATGACACGTTTTAAACCCCATATATGTGTTTAGTTTATATATCATCATAGAAACCTGTTAAACACTGAAATATTTACATTATAGAAGCTGGTTTCTGTGAGTTTGGATCATTTACACCGACAAAAATCATAAATCAATAAATGATTACCTGCTGCCAGTCAGCTGATTAATTAATTAATTTTTCCTGAATTTACAGATTTTTTTTCCAGTATTTTTTTTAAAATGAAAACAAACAATTAGATAAATAAATAAAATTACAAACTCAAAACTAAATCACCAGATATTTTTGATTTATTTGTTTATTTTTATTTTTAATTATTAAAAAAAAAAATTACATTTATTGTTTTTTGGTGGTTTTTGTTTGTTGTTTTTTTCAAATTAAAGCTGCTGAAATTCAAGTGTAACACTGTGAATAAATTTATCAAATTAGACCCAATCAGGGACATCTTTGTAGTTTGACTTGTTTGACCCAAACCCAACACATTGCTCCAGTTTTCCTTCTTGGTGTGAAACAGGAAACACTGAAGGCTCCATTCGAGCTTCAAGCGTCTCTAACGAGTGAAAACTGCTTCTTTCTGCTGAAACTCGCGGCTGCTCTATATTTAGGCCTCAGATAAGGCGAGACATTCGGAGCATGTCGACTATGCTCAGAGGAAACTGCAGGAAACGCAGCGAGATAAGAAGCTGCAGGTCAGCCAGTCGCCCTGATCCACGGCCCACGGTGACGGACGGACGGACGGACGGACGGACGGACGGACGGAGAGCTTCCTGCTTCTAAAACCAAAGTCATCAGCTGCAGCTTCCAGAAGAGTCACAGAGCAGAAACATACCAGGGAGGAAGCTGTGATGTCTTTATTGTTTTATTCTATAATGAACCTTATAAATAAACGATCAGTCAGTTCATCTGTTGATTGATTTTTAAACCAAACATGGAGCATCTGGAGCAGCTCTTTGTTTATGAGGATTTACTGCCTTTATTGATCTCGTGTTAATAAAATCTGTGTTTTTTACATTTTGGGTCCTTTATTGAACAAAACAGACAATTTAATGACACTTCAGAAAACTTTTACTGATATTTTTCATCATTTTCTGGCTATTTTCTGAAGCTAATCGCTACCTGGTGCCTGATTTTAACTGATTTTATGTTTAATGTTTAAACGTCAGCGTCACAGGATCACGTTTAACGGCTTCAACAGATGCTTGTATTATTACGTTTAAGCATAAATTAGTTCAATTATTCATCTCCTGGCAGGTAAAGCAGATTGAATGCACTTTTTTGTTCAGTTTTCAGATGAATCTACTGAAATGTGAGTTGCACATTTTTCGTTTTTTTACATTTTAAACCAATTTTCAGTTTGAAATTAAAATTTTTCTGCATCGCTGAAATGCAGGAAAATACTAATAAAGTTGGAAAAAGTGATATTATTACTGTTATTATGAAGAAAACTAATAAGGTCTTTAAAATGCTTTTGCAAATTCATATAATTTTGCAAACATTTTCTCTTTATGTACACAGATTTGTTAAATGAGAGTTTTTTACATCAAAAATATCAAATGATTGTGTTTTCATCGATTGATATTCTATATCTCGGTCATTTCACTGTTTGTACACGTGTTGTCAATATCCTTCATTAAACATGAAGAAAATCCCAAAACACGTCTGATTTCTTGTGAAATGAAGGCGAGAAAATGTAAATTAATCACAGAAAATGACTCTTTTATCATCAGATTTTGTTATTTTCTGTTGGGTTTTTTTGCACCACAGCTCCTGACTATTTCACTTTTTTAAACAGCCAATGTAAAAAACTTTATTTTGTTTGATGCATTTCGCACCTAATTGCACTAAAAGCCTTTTAAACGACTCATTTCATGTATGTATATTATTCATATATATTTTCAGCTGCTTTGTGTGACTTCAGTTTAATTCTTTCACATGTAGATGAACTGCAGACGTCGTCTGAACACATCAAGGTGGATGAAGGACAGAAGAACTGATCATTTAAACGTATTCAGCTGCAGCTAAATCGATTTAATCAGATTTCTGTTTCTTCCTGACGACCATCGCTCCTGTTTGCAGGCTGCAGGTTATTTCCATCCTGCTGACGACACTTTTTCCGGCTCTGAGGCCTAAAGACGGGATCAAACCTCGACAGGTGGCGCTGATCCGTGATCAGGTTGTGGACCGGAGGCCCGGTCAGAACCTCGTGCTTCTGGATTAAACTCACCGACCGAATTAGAAACGTCCAGCTGTTTGAAAAGAGCCGCAGAGATTCACCTGAACTGGTGGTAAAATGTCTGAACATGCATTTAAAAATGATCTGAATCAACAGACAGCGACGGAAAGACGTTTTTAAAAAAACTCACAGAAAAATAAGGATTTAATCAATCAGGAGGTTTTTCTTCTGGTTGCATCAAAGAAAATATAAAATATAGAAAAACTAGCATGTCTTATAAACTAAAGGCTCTTTAACTTCTATGTTCTTTGGTGGACAAGTTTCTTTGAACAAATTCACTCCAACTGTTGTCACCTCATTTATATAAATTTATTAGTTTGACATCTAAATAATAATATTT